GGTTCATTGACAATGATGGAAATTGAACTTCTTTTTAGTTTAAATGGTGGGTCCCAACACAAGTAAACTCCCACCAGGACTATGAAATGAACTCGGATTTAGTCCTCACAAAAAGGTGCTCACACCATCCAGTCACTTGCAACTATGTATTGGGAATATCTCCTTAAGCACTGTGTTGTGAAGACTGAACCCAAATTCCTATGGAATATGGATCATTGTAGTCTAGATCACCTACCAACAAATTTCATTCCAACACCCTACCAATATGTTTACACAAATGGGTAGGGATCAACTACTAATAAATTGCTCTTAACACTGTCCAAACAGGCCTTTATAGTTGTATATTGGGAACATCTCCCTTCTCAGTTCTCATTCATAGGGTGATATTCCTGATGCTAACAGTCATGACTAATTGGGACAGTGTTGTGAACATTTGTTGGTAGCATATTTGAATTGCACGTGATCTCAATCTCATGGTGAGATGAGTGATGTTAGGTGATGTTGGGAGGGTATTGAAACATATTTTATTGGTGAGTGACCCTAACTCCCTGGATCATTGCGTCCCACATTACATCTAACCGTGCATTGGAAATATCTCCCACTAGCAAGGACCCATGCGGTGCATGGAAAATCTGAAAGATTTAATAATTTTATTTACTATTAATTAATATTAAATTAATAATCAAATTTTTTTGTTAATTAACTAAAAGTATTCAAAGTTATTGTTAATATTTAAAATTTTAATAATTGTATTTTTCATTTAATGTTGACTTACAGAAAATAATTATTGTTAATTTAATATGAACAAATATTTTTTAATAAATTTAGTTTTATTAATAATTTATATTAATTTTAAATGAAATTTTAATTAACTTTAAATAAATAAAAATAATTACAAAAGCTAACATTTTTATTAATTTCACTAATAATTAACAATTATATAGGAATAACAATGGGGTGGGTTCGGGGTGGAGCACCCCATCCCTGTCCCTGCCCCATAATCAAGACACTCTACCCCATCCCCACCCCGTCCCCAATGTCAGGTAGGTTTAGGGCAAGGCAACCACTCCTCAATGTCAAGCGAATTCAAGGGCAAGGCACTCCACTCCTCATCAAGGATGGTGAATCATCGAATTTCCCCGCCCCATCCCCAGTAGAGGTGTAAATTGGGTCGTGTTGGGCCAACACGAGCAACTATTTTCTTTTGAGTTAGGTCTAGCTGAGATATGCACCATGTCCACACATTATTAGGGATAATCAGATTTGAAGTCTAATTGGGTATCAAACGTTTAGAGTCCAATGATGGCTTTAGCGGATAGATTTCAAGCTAAACAACCCCTAATAAGTTCAACTTGGAAGTTATATGCATATATGGTAAATATTATTATATAATATTTAAATAAAAATTTTTATATTAATATATATATAGAAATGTTATATATTTTTTTATACTAAACTGTAATTAAATAAAAATTTTAATTTGTAAAAAATCATAGTTTTATAATTAACACGGGCCTCCTTATCAACAAAAAATGTACAAGCCCAAGCTTGAGCCCAGCCCGACCATCAAACCTAGATCTTGAGCCCGAGCCCAGCCCTTATATAAAGCCCGAAGCTCGAGCCCGAAGACCGATCTATACACAAAATGTCTTATTTTTAGTATACTTTTATAAACTAATATTATATTAATTTAGTAACAATTTAATAAATTAATAAACTAATTTATATTTCCTAATAGTAAATTGATATTTATTAATAATTTAAGCATATATATATATAATATAACATAAGTACTTTTTTATATATGTAATAGTAATGGGCTGGGCTCAGGCACAGGCCAAGCTTATTTGAGAAAGCCCGAGCTTGAACCCACAAACCTGAAAATAACGAATTAGGCTATGCTGGGCCGTCGGGCTACCCAACCCCTGAATAGGTCTAATTGTATATATAAACAATTGTATACATAAAAAATTGTATGAAATAAAAATTTAAACATCTTTTTCAATTTTTTTTAAATGCACCTCTCATAACTTGGCTCGGTCCACAGCCTGGCCTAGCCCAAGGCTCGGCCCATGGACTAGCCCGACCCATGGGACGGCATGTGCCCATGTGGTCTTGGGCCATGGGGTGTGGCGAACCAACCCCCCTAAATGCCGAAACCGACTCGTAACGAGATCCTACGCGCGGGACCATAACAGAGGAAGGCACGACTCGGGATGCCCCGTAGTCCAACATGACACGGCCCGCACAAGTGCGGGCCACATGTGGGTTGTGTCGTACTGGCCCAACACTACCCAATTTACACCTCTACTTGAACCAACCCAGTACTGGGGACGGGGCGGGGAAATTCGAGGATTTTCCATCCTTGATAAGGAGTGAGGTGTCTTGCCGCTGAGCTCGCCCGACATTGAGGAGTGGTTGCCTTGCCCTGAACCTACCTAACACTGGGGACGGGGTGGGGATGGGGTAGAGTGTCTTGACTATGGGGCAGGGACAGGGATGGGGTGCCCTACCCTGAACCCACCTCATTGTCATTCTTATATAATTATTAATTATTAGTGAAATTAATAAAAATGTTAGCTTTTGTAATTATTTTTATTTATTTAAAGTTAATCAAAATTTCATTTGAAATTATAAAAATAATAACAATTATTAAAATTACTGCAAATTATTAATAAAACTAAATTTATTAAAAAATATTTGCTCATATTAAATTAACAATAATTATTTTCTATAAATCAACATTAAATAAAAAATACAATTATTAAAAGTTTAAATATTAACAATAACTTTGAATACTTTTAGTTAATTAACAACACATTTTGATTATTAATTTAATATTAATTAATAGTAAATAAAATTATTAAATCTTTCAGATTTCCCATGCATCGCACGGGTCCCTGCTAGTGGGAGATATTTGCAATGCATGGTTAGATGTAATGTGGGACACATTTTGTGGGGAGCCTATCCTAATTGGTACCAATGATCCAGGAGTTAGGATCACTCACCAATAAAATATGTTCGAATACCCTCCCAACATCACCTAACATCACTTATCTCACCATGAGACTGAGACGACATGCAGTTCAAATCTGCTACCAACAAATGCTCACCAATTAGTCATGATTGTTACACATGAGGAATATCTCCCTATGAAAGAGAATTGAGACGGTGTTTGGAGCATTTTATTGGTAGTTGATCCCTACCCATTTGTGTAAACATGTTGGTAGGGTGTTGGAATGAAATTTGTTGGTAGGTGATCTAGAGTACAATGATCCATATTCCATAGGAATTTGGGTTCAATCTTCACAAAACGGTGCTTAAGGAGATATTCCCAATACACGGTTGCAAGTGGCTGTAAGAATGGTGTGAGCACCGTTTTGTGAGGACTGAATCCGAATTCATTTCATAGTCTTGGTGGGAATATTTTGAATACTTTTAGTTAATTAACAATAACATTTGATTAATAATTTAATATTAATTAATAGTAAATAAAATTATTAAATCTTTTAGATTTTCCTGCTAGTGTAATAATAACATGCATTAAAATAAGAGGCCTTGGAAAATCCAAAGGCCTCTCTCTAATAGTGTGCAACTTTATTAATCTAATCAAGATAAGTAATGATTACTGGTTTATATTTTTAAAACAAAAGAAAATGAGAAAAAATGCAAAAAATGGAGAAAATAGATAAATAGCTTCTCTCAAAGGAGACATGGGCGAACCAATTTTTGTAATAAAATATTGTTAATAAAATGGATTTTGCATTTTAAATTTTTATTAATTTTTATCATTTTTAATGAATTCATTATGCACAATAAAGGTCTCAACTCATAAGTTATCTAATAATATTATTAAAAGTTTAAAACTATCGATTAATATTTTTATATTTAAATTTCTAACTTTTATTAGTGTTTATTAAGTTTGATTTTTAAGTGGAATTGAAACACATTTTTTAATATTTACTAAGTTTTGTTAATATTTATTTTTAGTGAAAGTTTAGTATGTGGATTTTTAAATTAATAATTTTTTTTTTATTGTTTAACCTAAACCTATTTATATTATTACTATTCTCTCTCTCTCTCTCTCTCTCTCTCTCTCTCTCTCTCTCTCTCTCATTCTCTTAAATGTAATAATAACATGCATTAAAATAAGAGGTATTGGAAAATCCAAAGGTTTCTCTCTCTTAAATATATTTTTTTAATGTAATTATAACATGCATTAAAATAAGATACTTTAGAAAACCCAAAGGTCTCTCTTCAATAGTGTTGATCTAATCAAGATAAACAATGATTACTGTTAATATTTTTAAAACAAGAAAATAAGAAAAATGCAAAAAAATGAAGAAAATAGATAAATAAATTCTCTTAAAGGAGAGACTGCTGACATGGACAAAATAGATAAATGAATATTTAATATTTATTTATATTATATATTTATTTATCTATTTGAATGGTGAGATGTTCTTAATGCGCAGTTGGATGTGCATGTGGAGCACGTGTAGGATGTGATTTAAGGAACTGTGGGGCATGTCAACCCTGAATTTGCATTGGCGCCCCACATAGCATGCCCCATGCGTACCTCATAGCACATTCCAACTGTATTCCCTTGACAAGTAGGAAGATGTTTCCTATGATGGTGACATGTGCATGTGGAATTAGGGTTGTTAATGGATCAGGGTTGGATCCGACGGACCCAAACCGACTAAGTCCGTTCTGGTTCCAAGAATGGTTCTAGTTCTTAATATATTGTTTCAATTGTTATTAGTTCGAAATCAATTCCAACGAGTCCCCAACCGGGTCAGACCCGGTTGTCTCGAAAACAGTTATGGGTATAAAATTACAGACCCCTATCGGATTTGGGTTGGTTCAGGGTCCTTTCGGTTCCGGTTCTACCTTGAACCTGACCCAGATCCAAGTTCATCCAACGCGTTCACTTTTTACTGACTCGGCAGTAACTCAGATCGGCGGCTTCCCGAGTTAATTGATTTTTTTCACGGATTCGCAAATCGCTACAATTTCGTTCGTCCTTGTTCAGTTTGAAAGTCACTCCTTTTGAATCTGGCCGGGAGAAGAGAAAACCGAAGCCTGAAGTTTCTATACCCACTGTAATTCTCGCGAGAAATTTGCAGGCCAAAAGAAAGCAAAAAAGATGGAAGAGATTTTTGTTGCAATTTTGTCCGTGTTTCTTATTCTGGCGTTACTCCCTCTTTATTTATGGAAACGCCGTCAGGTTTCTAGATCTTCCGATGGTCGAGAAGAAGATGAACAGGTTCGTGTTTTTCAATTATAAATTCAGACGTGATTGCTTTCTGAAATTTTGATATCCTTCCAATGCAATCTCATTTTTTCCCCTTTCCTTCCCGGTTATAACTTCAAGAACTTGAACCCTAGCTCTAATTGTGCTTTTTTCGGTGGCTTGGATTATCGCGTGATACTACTCGGAATACATTCTATGTGTCTTTCTTTTTCTTCCCCCTAATTTCACTTAGGACTTTAGAAATGAGCATAGTGTGCCGGATTTTCATTTTATTTTTTGCTTTTATCTTTTATCAATTTTTTTTTTTGTAGTCTGTTGGAAATTAGAATTTGATTCTTAGTCAATTGAAAGCCCTAAAAGAAATTTCAACTGGATATTTCTTTCTTTTGTTTTTTCGTCATCAATATTTTATATACATCTCAGGCACCACGGAGAGAAGCTGTAGTTCGCCCTGGAGCTCGTCGAATGCGGCGTAGACCAGCTGCCGCCAGTACGTCCACAGCCCCCACGGAAGCTACAGAGGGTCAGTAATCAGTGCCATGAATTTTTTATCTTTCTAAGTGCTAATCCGAACTGGTGATTCTTCACTTGGTATGGTTATTAAATATAATTTAAATGGTGTTTAAATAGCTTTTAGAGCTCATCTTTTGTTTGCTAGCTAATAATGCGAATTGCCTTTGTCCCATCTTGCAGTTATGCATGTATCAAACAAAGGCAACTATTTTGTGAATTGGATGTTTTCAGTTTCCCATTTTATCAGCGAACAGGATGAGGAATTGAGTTATACATCTGGGATACTGTTATTCTTGTTACAATCAATAAAGAGTTTTCTGAATATTTATGCTATAATTCTATGATGGTGTTCCATCATTGATTGTTGAGGTAACTAGATCAATCAGGTGCCTATGTGCTTGCATTTATGTACTTAAACATTAAACATCGTAATAACCTAACATTTGATCATTTGATGCATGGCAATTGCATAAGAAGATAAGGGCACAATAAAATTAAGATTCATATTATATGGGACTATGGGTATATGTTAGATCCTCACAGGCAATAAGGTATTTCAACCCATTCTTAGTTAATTATGTATGACAGCATACTCAATTGGCTTTAGAGTGTCTGTCATGTCTATGAACTTAATTAGTTATTCTCTCATTTGTGGTATAGTGCTTCCATAATATTTATTATGTATTGTGCAACATGGCTTCATTGATTTTATTACCACTATCTCTGATACCTTTGGCCATGTTTTAAATCTAATACCAAGTACAGGTAGAAACAAAGTTACAAATGTTAATTACCACACAACAAGTTTGAAGATATAACAGAAATGACAAATTAATAATTAGCAATCAGATGTAATGCAATGGCCTAAATAGCAACAGGGGCCTGGGGGGGATTTATGCAATTATGCTAGCTTAATAGTAAAAAATCTAGCAAAAGAAGACACATTTTCTTTGTAAGAAACGATATGGTGCATGACAGCATTATTGATCGAGGTGGCTGGACTTAGAAAATCAAGATATATTGGGAGGATAGAAGGATATTGGACCTGGATCCCAGTGAATTTTCCTATTTCCAGTCAATCATGTTATTTATCTTTCATAGGAGATTAGTATTCTTCCTTCCTGTACAGATGCATATGAGCCATTACTTGGTTTAATGGTAAAATCTTGGGCTGGCAAGCATGAGAATGCAGGTTCAAGTCTGAGGGCAGCCACTTTGTGCAGAAAAAATGCCAAAGGTTGGGACTAGGGGTGCAACTCGGGTCGGTTTGAGTTAACATTATACACTGCCTCAGGCCAGGCCCATTCAAATTTTGGCAAAAGACAAACTTGAGCCTGCCCTAGTTAGGACTATATCCAGTCTACCCCTCCCAAGAACTCAGATAGCTGGGACCAACATTGGGTAACGGCCTTGTGTGGACTGCTATCAACAATAAGAATTTTACTTCATTATGCCCTTTGCTGTTTTTTAGAGCTTCTGGAAGGAAAGAAACAACAGGAATTTTCAAGGCAAGAGGTGTGTTGATCTGACATCATTGGGAAGGTAGAGCAGCTGATCTACTTTTGGTCCCCCTCCTCCTTGATGGAGTTTATGAGTGTAAGATTTGCTAATTTCTATAATGACAAGTGCGAGAATTGAGTTTGTGAACAGTCACTTTGTGCAAAGAGAAAGGCCAAAGGTTGGGTTTGTATTCAGTTCACCCCTTCCAAGATTCCAAATAGCTGGGGCCAACATTGGGTAATAGCCGTTTTTTCTTAAGTTTCTGCAAAGATTAGAACATTAACATCTTTATGTCCAATGGGAGTGCATTGATGTATATTTTTTACATGACTCACTACAAAGAGATGATTTATTTTTTCTTATTTGTATGGGTGTTTTTTTTTTTTCTCTTATTCCTTTCTTTGATACATCCTTATCAAACAAAAAAGATGAAGATGATAAAAACGAACTTAAATTCTCCCTTTCATTGAACATCTCATTTCACTTGGTGATCAAATTGGATGGAAACTCAATAAAGTTGCAAAGGTTTTAATAAATCATGATTAATTACCACAATAAAGTCGCTTACTTTTGCACTTAGGCCTTGTTCGTTACTTACCTAGGTAAGTGCATTTACCCGGGCAAGTGTTTCCTAGGTAAATCTTGCTTGGGTAAGCATGCTTCTAGCATTCTTGTATGCTAACAGTTACCTAGGTAAAGAGAGAGGTGAGAGGGAGAGACCTTGCCCTGCTACTTTCGTGAAAAAACCCCTTTTTTGGCCTCAAATTGCAATTTTTAATATTTTTTATAAATAAAAAATAAAAAACTGAATTAGAAAACATATATTAAATATAAAATAAGACATATAACATATCTAAAACATATTTATACATTATTTTATCGCTAAAATATATATTTATACACGTAACGGCTATCTGTGCTCTTTAAGTTGATATTTCCTTCAATTTCTCAAGTTACAGGATGCTAAGCATATAACAAAGCAAGAGCTATCCAATTTCATGAGAAGATGGCCATGCGTGATATGCTTTCAGGTCAAGCTATACTATGCATGTGCATTACAAACTTTGGGATTTTGATTTTCCCTTTTTTTTTTTTTTGATCAATAACACGTAACTTTCATTAACAGAAAAGAATTAATTACTGGAGAAAGGGAGATAAAAACACTTAACTCCCTCACTTTTAGGCAAACACAAACAAGACAAAATTACAAGATAGCCCAAAACATTGAGTCCCTAGTCACCCCTTGTTTGGCTAACCCATCAGCAAAGGAGTTGGCACTTCTTTTCACCCAGTTCAATTTGACTTAAATATTTAAAGTCAACCACTTGAATTTCCTCTTCTTGTTGCTGTAAGTCCAAAAGCTAGCATTTTCTTCTTTTAGCCAGCCCACCACCAATTTGGAATCCCCCTCTATAACCAATGTAGTGATGTTTAGCTCATTAGCTCTTCGAATTCCTTCTAGGACAGCTGAGATCTCAGCCCTAAGAGAATCATCCACTCCAATTGGCCCTGAGAACATAGCTAAAACCTGACCCTCCTCATTTCTTAAGACACCCTCAATACCTGATGGACCTGGATTGCCAATGCTACTTCTGTTAAAGTTTAATTTGAAGAAACCGCTGGGGGGAGGAGTCCAAGAAGGTAGGGGGTGTTCTTAGCTGGAGCTGAACTTGCAATTTCCTTCCAATTTCTTATCAGATCTGTCACTGTAAAGTCTTTAAACAAATTCAATGATTTTAGCTACTGCACCACTCTAAGGAGGATCACCGCTAGAAGGTCTTGTGGACTTCTTTCTTTATCTGAAAAGACTTCCATTCCTTTCCTCCCAAATAGTCTAACAGACGGAAGCCCTTAAACATCTCCACAATACTCTTCCTCTCTTCTTTGGCCAACTAAACAAGGTAAGGGCAAAAAGAGTTTGTACATCTGGCAGGGCACACCACCTGCACCCAAATAAAGAGAAACACCTCTCCCAAATATAATTAGTAAAAGAGCAAGAAATCAGTAAGTGGCAACTGGTCTCATCCATAGGCTTGCAGAGAACATTCCAGTGAGGAGATAGATAACAATTAGGTCTCTTTCTCTGAAGAAGATCACAAGTGTTGAATATTTCCAAGAAAGCTTCCCAACAAAAACTCCTTACCCTTGGTGGAATAGGTTTACACCAGACTTCCTTAACCAGGAAAGGCTGCCCTAGTGGCACAGATGGTTGAGTTTAACCTTTGAAATAGGAAACACATGAAAAACCCCCCGAGGCCAACAGAATCCAAACCCTGTTGTCAGATTTAGTGGGTTCTATAAAACCTCCTCATGAATGTTTAGGAGAGACGAGGTACTATTCGGTTCTGAATTCCTAACAGCTCTTCTCAGTCCCAAATTCCACCCGAAACCTGAATTTTCTTGAGAAGGTACCAAAAATTTGGAAATAGGCTGATTTTTCAAGTTAGATAGAGCAAACAAGGATGGGAATTGATCCTTCAAGGGGGAATTCCTAATTCAAACTTGTTCCCAGAACTTAATAAGGTTACCAGAGTGCAATTCATACCTGATCCAGGGTAGACTGATAGTTTTTAGCTATTAGTTAGGTAAGCTAGAATGATAGTTTTGATTTTCAATCAAGTCCTTGGGGTTGGAAGCTGTTTAATGATAGTTTTAATTATTCTTTTCTGGAGATATAAGCTATAAATTTGGCATATTTTAGCTATTAGTTAGGTAAGCTAGATTATGAGAAAAGAGATAAGATTTAGTTCTGTAGTAATTAAACTAACTTAATAAGGCATTAGATGCTGTGTAGAAGAAGAGGTGTAGACTTAGGAAATAACATTATTTCCTTAGGATTTTTCAGTATAGCTTGTTTATTAAATTATTTATTTAATAAACTCCCAAGCATATTTCTTGATGGTAGATCCCTTGAAGTCACTGTCCCATTCCTTGCATCTTCATTTAAGAAGGTAACATATTTGGCCAACATTAGATATAGATATCTCTTTAGAGTATTCAGATAATATTTATAAACTTGAAATACAAATATTCTGGTATAATTGGTTAGGAGGATTATAATTTTTTGTATGGACTAACCAATTATATATGCAAAATACAGATATTGTTTATGGAAGTGAGGATGATGCTCCTGAAGATGAGTACTACGTTGCTAAAGCATCCAAGAAAAAGGAGAAGAAACGGCAAGAGCGAGAAGCCCAACGACAGGTGCAAATATAGTATTGCAACTGTAACAAATCTTGATTCCATGGCATCTCTTTTGTATGGAAGGTTCTATATTCTTAAATGGGTCTTGTATTCTATTGGAAAATTTATATATCCCTGTCTATTCTGACATTAATGATTTTATGCAACTCCTAGATTCTTTCCCCATAAACAAGGTGGGACACATGAACAGGCAGACTAGAAGACAAGGTTGGGCATTTGTTTTCACTGGTCTGACCTTTTCTTTAAGGTGAAGAAAATCAAGAGTTGCATAAAATTGTTTACCACATTTCTTAAATCTGAATATGTACACCTAATTCTCACGAGTAGTGAAGTTTTACCATTTATTCAGAATTTGGCATCTCTGGTTCTAGATAATGTGTCCTATACTGTGATACATCTTGGACTTCCATATAATTTCAGTGACATTGTTATTTATCTTTTCTTTGTCATTTTGTTATCTGTTAACCCAAGTTCTGAATGATAAACACATTTGTTTATCTTCTTTTTTGAAGGCTGAGGAAGCAGCACGTGAGTCAAGGAAAACAAAACAAGATCATTATGCAGAAATGCGGAGGAAAAAGGATGAGGAGCGTGAAGCACAGGAGCGTTTATTGGTAAGTTGATTACTCTTCAATCTGTGTGGTTTTCAGAATTTTAATATAAAATGTCCCTATTTTAATTTAAGGAACTCGCTATTTCCGTATTAGGAAGAAGAAGCTAGGGCTCGAAAGGCTAAGGAAGAGGAAGCTGCTGCATTAGAATTTGAGAAATGGAAAGGGGAGTTTTCTGTTGATGCTGAAGGTACAACAGAGAGTGAGGTGCAAGATGGGAATCAGGGATTACTTTTTGATTTTGTGGAATACATCAAGGTATTTATTTTCTTGGTTTCTACTATTATGCTGGCCTTTGGTCAAGAAATACAATTATTACATTTCCAATTCTACATTTCAGTAATTTTCAACTACTTCAATGTAATTTTAACATGTGAACTGTGTGATAACATGGAGAAATTTTTATCAAAAGTGAGCATTCTAGTAGAATGTCAACTATATGGACACAAACATGAGACAGATATAGAGACAATGGGTGGCAAATTGGATGGTATACTGACAATGTAAAGCAGAACTAACTATTTTCTATGTTAATGCAGAAAAACAAGTGCGTTCCATTAGAAGATCTTGCTGCAGAGTTCAAGCTACGGACTCAGGTAATTTCCATCCACATTAATCTCTTTATTCTTTTACTGTGGATCCACAAACAATAGTTGTTTATGAATCAGTGTAAGAGAAGTTATGTCTGTCATTCAACATTGGTTGGACCTCTTTACCGGAATAAAAAAAGAAAAAAAAAATTGGTAGGATCTGGACTGCATCTAATCTTCTAAAGTTTGGCATTTCATCACCCCAACTGTATGGTTCATGCATAAGAAATGATATAATAGAGATTTGGGGGAATTGCACCATCCAAGCTGGGGCCTTTCCTCTCTGAACTGATGGTCTGAGTGTTCAAATCTGTAGTTTATGTACAAGCATTAGGATGCAAGTTTATGCCCCAGCTGATGTACGAGTATATGCATCAATTGGTGGAGAGAGGGAGGGAGGATTCAAGGATTGAATGGGGAGAGTAACTTTAAGTAAAGATAATAGGAACTTGATTTTGAATTTGGGCTTGGTGGTAACTTTAAGTAAAGATAATTTAGGAGGAAAGTCAAGTTAGTAGGTGTAATTAAAGCTGCTTGGGAATTGGCATTTACCTTTTGTATCAACATTACTCTATTAAATGATAGATGACAGGAACTATTGAATCATGGATTGGGATTTTCTCATCACAATAATGATCTTGGTTAATGCAGGATTGCATCAATAGGATCACTTCACTGGAAAGCATGGGTATGTATGTGCTCTGCAGCATCTTCTATTCATGTTGACTTGGGGGGTTTACATCAATATGTATGATTTTGCTCTTCTAAACAAAACAGAACTGCCACATCAGCAAAAATTTCCCTTGAGGTTTCACTTTCATAAAAACCTCCCTTTAGTTTACCAAAAACCTGCAGCTGCCTCCCTTCCATCTTTGTTCCAGTAAGGAAGACTTCAAAGTTATGAAATTACCCTTACAACTTATTAGGGAACCTTTCAATATAATTTAAAATGCCAGATTTTCCCTTCTAAACTTCACTAGACCCAACGTTTTTATAGAGTAAAATTACTTTTGTTCTTTTCAATCTAACTCGGAGATCTTTTTTCATTAAAAGTGAAATTCTTTTGGGGGGTATTTTAGTAAATTTTCATGTAAATTGATAGATGTAAGGGTAAAATGGGTATTCTTGAAAAACTAATGCATTAGACCAACATTTTCTGTTCATGACAATAATAAAGGGAGGTAACTGCAGGTTTTTTCAATACTACAAGGGAGGTTTTTATGATTGTCAGAAACCTCAGGGGAGATTTTTATATTTTACCCATAATTTTTCTTATGTGGCAGTTTCTTGCTACTTTGATTTGAAAAAAAAATATCATACATATTGGCCTTTACCACCTTATTTTTGTTTTCTTCATGTAGCCTGTCCAATATCATAACCCCCCAAACCCTGGTGGCAACGGGGATTGATCCCAAGTCTCTGCTGCAAGTAGCCAGAGAACTTGCCAACTGAGCCACCATCAGTTGGTTAGCACCTTGGCGACTTGTATGTGTACCACCTTAAAGTCATATGAAAGCCACATATACCAAGAAAAAAAATATCATTTGATTCGTTTCTTTATTTTCTTTGGTGCGTATTAGGTCGACTGTCTGGAGTTATGGATGATCGGGGGAAATACATATACATCTCCCAGGAGGAGATGAAAGCAGTTGCTGATTACATAAAGCGCCAGGGAAGGGTTAGCATTTCGCATTTAGCAAGCAAGTCCAATCAATTCATTGATTTGGAGCCAAAAGCCCAGTTTGTTGAAGAAATCAGCAACCCAGAAGGAATTACTGTTTCTTAAGTCGAAACCCAGTGTACATCTGTGTTCTTAAAGCATCTGAATTATGTTATTAAAAAAAAGCATCTGAATTAGATACACAAGTTGAGAGAGATGATACAATTTTGTTTCAAGAGGGCTTGGGTAGTAATATTTGAAAAGCTAACAGGAAAACCGCTCAATGGATGATAAAATCCACTAACATAGTTTGGTAACATGTACAAATGAAAGGAATTTCGTTTCGCTTTTTGTTGCATTTGAATAAATAAATAAACAGATTATCTTTGATAGACTGATAGTGTTAATAAAAGGAGAAACCAGTTCGTCCTAGGATTTAATCGTTTCTGGTTTCTATAAATTACATTGTGTTTTTTCTTCTTTTTCTTTTTTGACTCGAACAGATAATTCATTCAATCAAAATAACAACACAGTGCAAAACGGGGGAACTAGGAAGGCCTACAGAGATCAGCCAAAGCTAAATACAGGGCAATCGAAAGCAAAATGATCCTGATTCTGGAGACCCTTCTTCTAGAGAGTGAGCTAGGCATTACATTTTCTATTTATATAAACAAAAGACACATTTAAAAAAGAAGCAGCTTCTAAAATATCCCTTAAAATGAAGAGAACTTTGGACCGTTCACATGGACACCACCGCCACCATCTTCCAAGTGTTTACCCAATTTTTCATGACATTCACCTATCTGTAGTGTTTTTTATTTTTAATTATGCTATCTGAGCCTAGCATTTTTTCTCTCTTACGACAATTTATATATTTATAAATATGAATATATATAATACATATATATCTTATTTATTTATTTATTTTTATAAATATATCTTTTATATTATATTTTTAATTTTTTATAAATTTGTTATATTATTTATTTTTTATAAAAAAACATGTATATATATGATGAAAATAATAAAAAATACTTGTATTTTTTGTTTTTACTTTATTTAAATTAGTATATTTCATTTTTCTTTTAATAATTTATTAATTTTTAAAGGAAACAAGTTGGATTGGATCAGATTCAAAGATCTGACTTACTAATAGGATTCAAATTCAAATTGAGTCAAATCAGATTGGATCTGACATGAACAATGTTAGATAGGATTTGAATAACCCTGATTCGAATTTCGAATCCGATTCATTTGCATACAAAGTAGACACTAGGGTTCTTATTCAGAGGTGTTAGCTAAAAGCTTGGTCATTTTTAAAATCATCACCATTGTCATCATCTAAGCCTTATCTCAACTATATGGAATTGGGTATGTGAACCCTGTTTCACTATTTATGTGTCATATTTTATCATTAAAATTGTGGGAATTTAGGGTCTGTTTGGTTTGCAGCCAGAATAAGAATCGGAATGGTCCATTCCCATACTGTTTGGCTCAGACAACAATCAGAATGGGAGTTGGATTCAGCTGGAATGGGATTTCATTCCCAAGGGAGGGGGAGGGAATGACCGTTCCCTCAAATGGGGGAAAGAATGGGAATGAGATTCTGATTCCACCCAACCAAACAGTTGAATTGGAATGGTCCATTCCGATTCCGATTCTAGATCCCTATTCCCACGAACCAAACAAGACCTTAAATCATTCCTTAATGGTTCTATCCAAGTTCTTTTCGTTCAACCCTCTCTCTTCTAGCCCCTTCAACTTGTACCACATCATTTGTTCTAATGGGTTTTGTAGATGGTCTTCTATGAGCATTACCAAACCAGTGCAGTCTACTTTCTTGCATTTTATCATACTAGTAGGGGACCCGTGCAATGCACGGGAAAACCCAATGTCTAATTTGCTGGTAAAAAGGATCAAAAGGATATATTGAATGTCGGCTACTGGTAAATTTCCAAAAGTATATATACTAAATTATTGATTTTTAAATATATTAAATAATTTTTCTTTTTAAATATATTATTTACAAAATTTACACTAATTTATCTTTTTATTTTTTATTTGAAGTTAATTAATAAATTCCTTTTCTAAAATTTTCCAATATTATACTAATTTATATTAATAACAGAAATAATTTGTGTAATTATTGGTTCAAATTACTGTTTTACTTTAGCAATACTAAAATATCTTTAATAATTTAAAATTAAAATCACACAAATTTTAAATAAATTTTCAAAATCTATCAAATGTAATAAAATTTCCAAAATATTACAATAATTTTCAGTTATTATTTACTACATTTTAAAGAAATTTTCAAAATTACATTAATATATTTTTTATTTTCTTCTCCAAAATTATGATATTTTGTTTGCCAATTTGCAAACTCCACAAACTCTTTCCTAGAGCTATAATTTTTTACTTTATTTTTCAATTTTATAATTTTTAATTAATTTTAGTATAAAGAAATTATTGGTTGAAAATTTTGTATATTCATTGATTTCTAGTAATTTTTCTGGGAAATAACACAATTTAATTGTTAGTGTAATAAAATTAATTTTAAGAAATTGTAACTATAGTAAAATATTTATTACAATGATTACTCTATTTAATTACTACACCAAAATTCCAATAATAATTATTTTAAAAAAATAATTACTTTAACTATGCTAATAATTATTATTGGAATTACAGTTATTTCAAAATTATTGCAATTATAGTGTTTTGAAAATAACAAATTTTACTATAATAATTAATGTAACTTAATAATTATTATTACACTAATAATAAAATTACATTAATAAATTTCTGAAAATGTAAATTCCAATGATAATTATTACTGTAATTATTATCAGCAATAAAATTCCAATAATAATTATTTTTATAAATTTCCGTAAATAGTAATTTACACTAAAATTTCAAAGATAATTATGTCTGTAATAATAAAGTTAATATGAAAAACAAATCTGTAATTAGAAATAAAATTTTCATTACAATAATTATTGTAATTGAATTAAAATTATTTTGAAACAAACTGTAACTATTACACTAATAATTATTATTAGAATTTCTGTATTTCAAAATTACTGTAGTACAGTAATTTCAAATAACAGATTCTATTGTAATTTATAAGTCTGTAGTAATTATTATTTTTAAATAATGGAAATTTGTGTAGTTTAATAATTACATTATTGGAATTGATACAAAATGGAAATTTGTTAATTATGTAATGATAATTATTAGTTTATTACTATTAATTTCCATTATTTTAAATCAAGATTCACAGTTTTGTCTATTATTAGTTTTTCATAAAATATTAGACAATGGGAATTACTCTTTGAGATCATGAAAAAAGGAATTAGTTAAACTACACTAACAATTATTTTAGTGTAATAATTATAATTACATTGATAATAATAAAATTTTCAGTAATTATAAATTATGATAACATAATTATAAATTTTTAATAGTTACAATAATTTTCCATAATATTCCAAAAATTGAAAAATGTCATAAAATTCCAAAATTGCACTAACTTGTCTGTTATTTTCAATTAAAATTAATCAATAATTTTCTGAAAATGTAATAATGAGAATTAAGCTAATTTTATTAATAATAAATTATTAATTTTCAATAATTATTTATTGGTTGAATAATCAATAAATTTTCAATACTTTCAGTAATCAATTGAATAATCAATAAATTATCCATAATTTCCAAAAACTAAACCAAACTATCTGTCATTTTCGAATGAAATTAATCAATAATTTATAATTATCTGAAATCATAATTATAATTTTTAGAAATGTAATTATTTCAATATCTTTTACCAACAATCAATTACTAAAATTTTTAGAAATTATTGATAAATATTAATAATAATTTATTTGTATTTATTTTCAGAAATTACTATTATTATTTTTGTAAATTTAAATGAATATTATTGATTAATAATTATAAATAATATATTTATTAATAATAGCAATGCTTTAATTGTTCTAATTTATTAATTATTGCCTCGCTAATTAATATATTAATTATAGATTATTGTAATATACTTATTTATTAATTAGTGCATTAGTAATTTATTTATTATCTCATTTACTAATCTGGTTGGACTATACCTGTTCTAAAAATGAACCAAACATTTGTAGTCTAGGGTGTTCGCCAAAACTCTACTTGTCCCATTCTCTTCAAGCATTTTAAGAGGGGATAGGATTGGAAACATAAAATCAAGGAGGGGGTAGGATTGAAAACCCCCAAACTCTACTTGTCCCATACTCCCATTCTCTTCAGGCATTTTAAGAGGGGACAGGATTGGAAATATGAAATCAGGGAGGGGGTAGGATTGAAAATATAAAATCGGGGTGTTGGATGAATCTATTCTCTTCAAGCATTTTAAGAGGAGATAGGATTGGAAATATGAAATCTGGGAGGGATAGGATTGGAAACCCCCAAACTCTACTTATCCCATTCTCTTCAGGCATTTTAAGAAGGAATAGAATTGAAAATATAAAATCATAAAGGGATAAAATTGGAAATATAAAATCAGTATATTAGACGATTCATCCTTTTCTTCTTTTTTATAAATGGGTAAGATATAAGAGTCACTCTTGGGTTCCTTTTTATAAGCATTTCCGTTTCTTCCATGCTCATTATCTAGACATGCTATATTTAAACTGCCCACTCCTCCATACATGTGACTACATAATGAAGGGTAAAACCCTTTTCAAAACCTTATCTTTCTATTACCGATTCGTCATTAGTTTCATCAAGTAATATTATGTCATTAGCAAATGTGAGCAATTACCCATCAAATGGGTTAGTGGTTCAACCATTAACCATATAGGTGGATAGGTCATTGATCAAATCAATGTTTTTTTTTTTTTTTTCAATTTTTAAAATGATGGGTCGCAGGTTGATCCAACCAAAATCATGATCAGATCGCCAAGTTATTGGTCAGACCGGCTAGGTCAATGATGACATGAAAATTAATATGGGTTTCTAGCATATAAGGGAAACTTTTGGGGTTTAATATCAATAAAAGTAATATATTTAAAAAAAATTCAAAAATAGGTTAACTTTCTAAAAATAATATCAATAAAGGGCAAAAACACTATTCATCTTCTTCTTCTTGCCATTTGTTCACCAGAGCTGCCGCCCACCGCTGCCTCCACCTCCGGTAACGTTGCCAGAGGTGGCAGCAGTGGCTCTGGTGGTTTCTCTGTCCAATGCCGCCACCTCCGCCCACCTCCACCTCCGCCTCCAGCAACGTTTCCGGAGATGGATGGAGACAGAGGTGGCAGTGGCAGTGGCAGAGAATGACCACCAATGTTGCCGCCGCCACCTTTGCCTCTGGCCACCTCCGACAATGTTGCCAGAGGTGGGCGAAGGTGGCAGCATTGGACAGAGAAACCACTAGCACCGCCACCGCCACCTTTGCCTCTGGCCACCTCCGGCAATGCTGCTGGAGGTGGAGGCAGCAGCAGCAGTAGGCGGCGGTGGCAGGTGGTTGCGGGCATCGGCGGACGGTGGCTCTGGTGAACAAATGACAAGTAGAAGAAGATGAACAGTATTTTTGCCCTTTATTGATATTAATTTTAAAAAGGTAACCTATTTTTGATTTTTTTTAAATATATTACTTTTATTGATATTAAACCCCCAAAAGTTGCCCTTATATGCTATTACCCCAATTAATATTGGTCATACCTTCTGAGTTCTAACAGCTCATGATATTCCACGTGGGCAAGCAAATCAGATGATTTCAGAATGACATTTTGGACGGGTTAGACTGATGAGTTCGGGACGTTTGTGTGGCGTGGGTGACAATGAAATCGAAAAGGGTATTATGGTCATTAAAAAAATTATACCAGAATTACAAAAAAAAGACCGTTATTGTATCTCTCCTCCAATTCCGACGCTAACTTGGAGGAGGAGATTTCAGCTGACTTGGTCACCTCTAACATGGCCGGTATGGGTCTCCCCTTAACTCCCCCTTGCTCCCACCCACCCTCTCTGCTGTGTTACCTTGCGCGGCCCGGGTGGTTCGAAACAACCACAGAATTACCCTGCGTCTGCGTTCCCTCATCTTCTCTGTGTCTGGTCTTCGAAGAGTCTGCCATTAACAGTCCATTACGTGCCTGGTCGAATCTACACAGACAGCATCATGTCTCAGGCTCCACTGTGCTTCTGAATTCTTACAGTAAGATACAAAGAAAAACATGAAAATGGCGTGGAAAGCGCTCGTCTTCGTGTTTTTCTTGTTTTCTTACCAACTTTATTTAGGCGGAGCCCAGGATTATGATGAACCAGAACCAGAACCAGCTGCCCCTCCACCTGAACAAGAACACTGCAACGGGATCTTCCTGTCTTATGTGTTCATATCCAGAGAGAAAGAATACCCACGTGTGAAGAATGCAACAGCTCAAGCTTGGGCTTTCAAATCCATGGCAACGGTATTGAATGCTGGATCCTACGAGCTCAAGGCGTGGAAGATCTTTATTGGGTTTCAACATGATGAGGTTTTAGTCTCAGCGACTGGAGCTGTTATCGTGGATGGTGATGATTTCCCCGCTGCAGTTGGTAATGGCACGTATCTTGCAGGCAATTCGCAGACAGATTTGAAGACATCGATCGACACAGCTGGAGACATAAACCAAATTCAGGTTCAGATTGAGATGACGGGAACACAGTTTGGGGTGAAGCCACCCGGAATTCCGATGCCCAAGACCATACAGCTTGTGAACGATGGGTACAAGTGTCCAGCACCCACTCGACGTAGTAAGTATTTCTCACTTTTGGTTGCCTTGGGATTTTGATAGTTGATATAGATAACTGCACTGCACCTTCTTTGCAATTAATGATGTCAAAACAATTTGTATATCATCATCATCACCTTTTCTCCATCCAAAATCATTCAATTTTAGGACTGTAATACACAGAAATGCTATCTGTTATTATCATCCATTCTCATCGATGTTGATGAGAAAAATATTGAAATTTGATCAGGAACTTCATTGCCACTTGACCCAACCTGCAATAACCTACACTCCTTTTTCCAACCCAGTTATCAATCAGATCGGGTCCATGGGATTAACCCCATATGGTTTAATGAATTTCAACTGGCATACCGACCTCAATCAGATTGAAGTTTGAACAGTATCTACGCTCTGGGCATTTTCCAACTCAATAACCCAAGTGGCCAACAAGGCCATCCATCCTTTCAGACATTGAAATATTTGATCATCCATAGAATAGACATGCGTAGGTAGTCTAAAAAATTCTTTTCTTTTTGGAATGGTTTCTGATTTTTCTGCGGACAATAGCCATAATTTGGATGACTGAAATAAGTATGCAGAGAATGCATCTTCATTCAGAAGGTTGAAAGCTTTACTTGGTATTTATTGTATCTGGAAATCTATTGGGCTCTAAGCTTGTTCTGTGTTAGTGTATTACCTGCATATATAAAAGCGAAATCTGATCTGAAGGCATTTGAACTTATTTCTGCTGTTTTTGTCTCCACAGAGAGCACAATGCATGTATGTTGCGTAAAGAACCCAAAATTCAAACCAAAACCAGTCAAGAAAACAAAATTCTTGCCTCGCCAGAATGGTGATCTCTTACTCGTTTATGATGTCCTCCAAGCCTATCCAGGGAACTATTTCGCTCAGGTAACAATTGATAACAACCATCCTATTGGACGTCTTGATCGCTGGAACTTGACCTGGGAATGGACGAGGGGGGAGTTCATATACTCAATGAGAGGAGCATACACTCATAAAAAGGATTTTACAGGGTGCATTTATGGTGATGCTGGAAAATATTACCAGGATTTTGACTTCTCCCCTGTCATGAACTGTGAAAAGAGGCCAGTTATAACTGATCTCCCTCCAGAAAAAGCCAAGGATGAGAAAATTGGAAATCTCCCCTACTGCTGTAAAAATGGAACTCTTCTACCAAACACCATGGACTCGACCAAATCCAGGGCCATCTTCCAATTGCAAGTGTTTAAGCTTCCACCTGATATAAACCGAACTGCTATTAATCCTCCTCAGAAATGGAAAATTAATGGAATTCTCAATCCAGATTACAAGTGTGGGCCTCCCATTAGAGTAGACCCAACAGAATTTCCAGACCCAAGCGGGCTTCAACAGACAAGCTCAGCCATTGCAAGTTGGCAAGTTGTCTGCAACATATCTCGGCCAAAGGAGAAGAAGTCTCACTGCTGTGTTTCATTCTCGACTTTCTACAACGACACTGTCATCCCTTGCAATACTTGTGCGTGTGGTTGTGATGACATAGACACAGATACCTGCAATCCAGACGCACCGCCAATGCTTCTTCCTCCGGAGGCTCTACTAGTTCCTTTTGACAACAGAACTGCGAAAGCCAAAGCTTGGGCGCAAATTAAAAACCGTCACATCCCCAAGCCATTACCTTGTCCCGACAACTGTGGGGTTAGCATCAATTGGCACATCCACTCTGACTACAGCGACGGATGGACGGCTAGGGTCACTCTGTTCAATTGGGAAGATCACGCTTTTGAAGATTGGTTCCTAGCAATTGAAATGGACAAAGCTAATCGTGGTTATGAAAATGTCTACTCATTCAATGGAACCAGGCTGCCAGGAAACAACGATACCATCCTCTTCCAAGGATTACCAGGTCTGAATTATCTGATAGCAGAGACAAATGGAACTGATATACACAGTCCGAGGGTACCTGGTAAGCAACAATCAGTAATTTCATTTAAAAAGAGCGGAATACACGGCTTAAACATAATACAAGGAGATGGGTTTCCTAAAAGGGTGATTTTCAATGGGGAAGAGTGTTCACTTCCTAAACATTTTCCTATGGCAAATGATGGTCATCGATCTCATGTTAAGCTTCGGCAAGTAATATTCTTCGCATTGATGACCTTTGTTCTTATGCCGGGTCCCCTCTGATATTATCACCCAGGACTCTTTTTATTACTTCTGCCCTCAGATCTTTGGAATATTTGTTCCTTGAACGACACTTCAATTCGGCATGCAAGATGAGAGTCCTCACTTTGAAGGGAATTAGATTTTGATCTGATTTTCAAGGTTCAGAATTTAGTTGCAGAACCTGCTTCCATAAACAAGCAACAACTTTCTTCTTCTTCTTCCCAGATCAAGGGTCCTTATTCTATCTCTAAATACTGGAGAAGTGAGCTTCGAACAAGCAGATGAAGAACCATGCAACCATGACAAAGATTATTTGGATATCATTGCAGGTTTCTACTACAAGTTGATTCCCTGAAGTGCATGCAAGAGGCTCTAACAAGCTCTTGAAGCAAAGAAATATGATTGTTTCTATGAATCAAGCTAAAGTTCTATATACATATTAAAATGGATATCTGTGTCTAATGAGGGGGAGGGGGGTTCTTTGTGGAAATTTACCCTATGTGGAAGAACTATTCAACTTTCAGTTTCTCTGTATACCATTCATAGGTTGACGTCTTTTGTCTTACTTTGTTCTGATTGTATGACGGTTTGTATTCAATGTACATGCTGTGCTAGGAAGAGATTTTCAGTTACAGCAGTTAGGTGATGAAATTCACTCGGTATTCCTTTAAATTCCATCTTTCAGCACTGCTATACATTGTCAATTTAATTCTTCCATCATTATATTTAGTTCATAATTCAGCACTCAATGTTTATTAGCAATAACGATCGAGGAGCCATTCTTTCCAATCATGAATTCTTAGAAAGGAGTTCTAGTGTTGAAGTTAGAAGTTTCTTGGCTTTTAGGACGGTCCATTAGATTGTTTGGTATACAACTGTTTTGGGATCAATACAAATTGGCATACAACTGTTATTTGAGGCCGTTTATAGTTGAAACAGGTATATATTTACTTAAAAATAAAAAATAAAAATGCATGTATGGGAGGCTGTTTGTAAAAATGTTTCTTGCTCAGGGGGTGAAGTTTAATCATCTATCTGAAGGGACTCGTGTATGTAATGTTACAACACATATTTCTCACCCATTTGTATTAATCAAACCCAAAACATTTCAGGACACAACTAACGGTTTCATTCCCATGTTGATGAAGGATTAGTTTCTAGTTACAAAATTGTATTCACAAGATTAATAATAAACATTAAACAATAAAATTGTCATGAAGCACAAAATGAATGAGTGGAAGAACTAGAAATGATAGGATCAGGATTGAAGTCATTCATAGAAACCTAGGAGTAGCTCCGATAGGTGATAAAATGAGAAAGAATAGACTAAGATGGTTTGGTCACATGCATAGCAGCCACCAACAGCAACAATTAGAACAAGTGATCTATTACAAGTGGAAGGGGCTAGAAGAGTTAGGGGTAGACCAAAAAGAACATGGATAAAAGTACTAATAAATGATTTAATCAATAATAATTTAACATCTGTTATGGTTTAAATATAACAGATTTGGAAAACGGGATTCATGCAGCCCACCCTATATAGTTGGGATAAGGCATGGATGATGATGATTGTCATGAAGCACAGACCAAAGTCCTAAGACTACTCCTGTTGAAGAATGAAAATCTATTCAAGGACCACAGCTAACAGATTAAGCTTTTAGGTTGAATGATTTTTTGAGATAGTATCAGAGCCTGTTTGACCAAGTGGATGGGCCTATGTTTACCCGCGCTTCAAGCTCAATGGGCTTTCATTTGAGGGGGCGCGTAAAAAATAAGAACCTATTTGGGGACCTCACTTAATATAACTTGGTTTGTCATATAGGAACCATGTTACCAAGCAGTTTGGATCTGGTAGGCACAACATTGTAAGCATGTTCAATAAGCACTTAAAAAAATTTTATAACACCTGTCCCTTAAAATACCCTCACCCCACCCTTGAAAACGATTAAAACCCACTTTTGACACTTGTCAAAATAGTTATCAAGTGCTCTTTTAGCGTGCTTACTTATGTTGTGTCTACTAGGCCTGGTCCCTTTAACAAGTATGCTGCCGCAATGAAGAAGCTTCATATAACTTCAAGGAAACGTACAGACTATAGGTTTCTTTAGGCATTCATTATCAATGAGAGCACCAAACAATTTACCTTTCACAACCCATTATTTTTTATGAATCTGCTGTACAATTTAAACACAAGCGCAAATAAAATTACAAAGTTGTGATTTCATCTTTGAATGTGATCAGCAATCAATAAATGGGAGCTGTTAGTAGGAAACTATAGGAACTCAGACAATCATCTCACTTACAGATTTTTTTAGATCTCAATGTTTTATGAGTCAAAAGTCGAATGTATAGAGAAAAACTACTGAAGCCTTATCTCTACCATATATATGGGGTCTGGTAGTGAGAGTTTGATAACATAGCAAATTAGAGTCCATTCTTGATCTAACTCCATGCCACGGTATGCATATTTTTGCACAATTTATGACAGTAGAAGGCGTCGTATTATAAAAAGTTGATAAAAATGATCCTGTGTATACAACTTTTGGGGACGAACAGGAAAATTCTGAGCCACAAGATCATTCTGAGTGTAGACCTAGTACAACGAGCACTGAGAAGTATTCAAATGATGATTCAATTAGCTAATGAGAATTTTCTATCCCACCATCATAAAGTGTAATTAGTTGAGATTATAAAGCCGATATGAATTCAAAATTGCTTTCCAAACAGCTTTCCTGGACAGTACTAACTACTACTACTGTCTCTAGATCTAGTTCTGCTGATTATTCATTTCAAATTCTCTAAAGAGCCTCTCTTACGCTTCATGTACAAAACATATGGATCGATACACTTCCGCCCTAACACATTGAAATCCCAAAATAGATGACAACTTTGATTTTGTATTAGAGAGAGAGAGAACATTACTCAAATGTAAATCCCAACTATCAGGGGTCTTGGGAGAGATAAACTGGGTTAGGTCCTACCCTTTTGCTCTCTCTCTCTCTGGGTTGGGGTGGGGGGCGCAAAGTGACCACTCTGAGACTAAAACCTACTCAGGGCTGCAAATGGATCAAATCAAATTGGATATAGGTTCTATATTTGAATTATTTATATTTGAATTAGTGGGGACCTGTGTGATGCACATGATTTGTTAAGCAAAAGATAAATAATAGAAATGGTCATTTACTAAAATACTCTTATAGTTTCATGGATTTACTAAAAATCTACCATATAGTTAGCATTTTACTAAAACACCACTTATAATTTGTAATGGATTTAATCAATCTTCCATTAGATGATAGTGAAAAATGATAGTGTTGACCCTAATGTTCATTTAAATAAATTTAATCAAAAGAAAATAGAAATAAAAAAATACCATTTTTCCCTTAATAAGACATGAGAAACCACTCTATTGGCTATATTTGGCCAATTTTGTTTTTTGTATAAAAAATATTAAGGCTATTTTTTGGAATAAAAAATCATGGGCCTAATAGCAAAACAAACACTCCTTAATGAAAGGTTGATTAAGTAAATAAATTGTAAAATATATGTGATATCTTAGTAAAATTAAAACTATAAAGTAGATTTAAGTAAATATGTAAAACTATAAGGTTTGTTCTAATAAATGACCCTAATAGAAACACATAAGAGTATAAAACTGACCAAGTTGGATTAGTTTCACTTTGTCCATTTGTAAACCGACCAAAATCAAATGACCTAACCATGGATATATATTAATATTTTATATTTTAAATGTAATTTTTAATATGAAAAAGTGATAAATTTTCCATATTTCTTAGTCTAAAATGTTTAATTTTATATATTTAATTTTTAAATTTATTTTTTAATAATTGTTGTGAGTGAGGTGGTTAGGCTACGGATGAAAGTCTCTTTGAAGGACAAAGGAAAGCCGAGTGCAGGAGATAGGCTAAAGGCTATAGCAAATGAGGTGATAGAATGATTATCTCGTTATGAATTGGACCCTTATTTATAGGGAGGGATCCCAAGGTCCCAAAAGGAAGGAGACAAAACCCAAAATTGTTTAGTTCCCATTAGGAAAGGGAATCTTTGATTTTGTGTCAGTTGTTAGGGAACACTACTAGGGTTTCGTCACGTGTCTTATGACATATATCAAGAACGAACTTTCCTTTCGTCTAAAGATTCTCATAATATACGTGCTACTTCCTTTCGTGACCCTTTCAAAAAGATGTAGCATGGGTGATGTCATTATTTAGCTTGCACACCCTCATTAGGCTTATGGGGTGTCCCGTCACGCATGTTATTAAATGACGCACGTGTTTCTATTATTTATTTTTGATCTGCAGTGAGTCTGCACTCATCGCAATTATGTGATGACTTTAAACTCATCGCAAGTTTGTGCGGGTCCAAAGCTTATTAAGGTTCTACGATGGATTTAAACTCATCACAAGTCCGTGCGGGTCCAAAGTTCATCACAACCTGTTTCGGCTATGAGTTCATCACAGATGTATGATGAGTTATGAACTCATTGCAGATGTGCGACGAATTGTGGACTCATTTCAAGCATTCGCATAGTATTAGTTTGATACCTCATCTATTCTGATGGTCTAAGTGACCACTATGTACCTACAATTGCACTATATGTTTTAAAATTAAATTAAATTTTTAAGTTTAAATCTTTTGAATCGAATAGACCTATTGTGAAAACCAACCCAAACCGATACAACTTGAATGGGTCCGTTTTCACAAAAGGTCAATCGACTTTAGCTGACCAATTCCCCAACCCGACCAAGTCAATTTGGTTGGCCAAATAGCCTACGACCAGTCCGAACCAACTCATGAACACTCATAATTTTAGCTAAATTAATAGTCTTATCTCCGATAAATAATAATAGTTTAATCTCCAATAATTATTAAAAATTTATAGCGAAAACACACAATTATTGAAAATATATTGATAATGAAAAAAATATAATAATTACAAAAATACAATAAGTACTGAAAATATATTAACTTAGTCAATAAATAGTATAATCGCAAATAGTAATTTAATCTCTAATAAATATTAATTAATCAATAAGTTATAACAAAAATACAATATATACAATAAATACAATAAATTAAATTTAAAAAATTCCATAATAGTAGTTTAATCTCTAATAATTATTGAAAGTTTTCTATTAAATAACAAAACAAAATAAATTTATACATAATCATTGAAAATATATTTATCATAAAAAATAATAAATAATTACTAAAATACAATAAATATTAATTTTAGTATATATAATTATATAATAAATACAGATTAAGAGTTTAAAATTATTATTAATACATATTAATGTTTTTGAAAGTCATTTTCTCGAATTACTACTTGATATAAGTGAAATTATTTATTTACAATATTATGTAAAAATATTAAATTATTATTAATTTCAATATTATGTTATAATTACTTTTCTACTTTTCAGTTTTTTTTAATTTATTACATAATTTCTTTATTTTAACTATTTAAAATATAGTTATGTTAAATATTTTTTTATTTAAAATATTTAGTTATTTAAATACTTAAATAATATGTAAAATATTTAAATTTTAAAATATCAATTATTTATTGAATTTAATTATCCATAAAATCATAATTTATACTATTATTACATAATTCCATATTAATTTTGTAATATATTAAATTATTATTAATTTCAATATTACGTTATGATTATTTTTCTACTTTGAAGAAATTTTTTTAAATTTATTACATAATTCTGTTATTTTATCTATTTAAAATATAGTTATGATAAATATTTAAATAATCTTTAAAAAATTTAATTTTTTTTGTTATTTGAATTTTATTTATTTAAAGCTATTGCATATTATTAAATATTTGAAACACATATAAATTGATAATCCGGAAAAACATAATTTAAATTGTTAGTACATAATTTTGTTATATATTTTGTAAAAATATAAAATTACTTTTTGTGTTTTTAATAAATATTTTAAATTTATTATATAATTTTGTTAGAATATTTAAATAATTCTTAAATTTTTAATCCAAACTTTCTTTAGAAATAATTTTGGAGATAAATAGGAATTAGAGATAACTTAGAAGATAATTAGTAATTAGAGATCATTTAGGAGAAATTTTAGGAGAAGAGATTATTTAGGTTATGGAAAAGTGCATCTCATTGGTTGTTTAATCTAATCAAGATAAGCAATGGAGAAAATACAAAAAATACAAAAGAAATTAAAAATGAAGAAAATAGATAAATAGCTTCTCTCAAAGGAGAGATATACTGGCATGACAGGACCAATGTTAATATATATATATATATATATATATTCAAATCGAATTGGATTATATCTCATCGAATAGGTTGGATCCATATTTGATCCAATTATAAATGGACTGAATTCGAATTCGAACAATTAGATATTGTTTGTAGCCCTAAACCTGCTTTTTCATGCTAGCCAGCCCGATATTTTTCCATTACACCAAGTAATGGCCCTGACTGTGATGGTGTATCATAAATAATTTGAACCTCTAAACTCTTTAATAAACATAAACATTGGAACGAACTTTACTCGTAGATATAGCATAAATTTTACACAAATATAAGCATATACATTTAAATACCATCAAAGATCCAATGTCTGACCCAACTAAAAATGGATTGAATCCAGATCAGGATCACTCCTAGCTGATCAAATTCAAGTTCAAACTCACAAATTGATACCATCTAGAGCCCTAATAATTAAGGGTATCTTTTCCATTGTTATATCACATTATCAATTGATGGTTTAGCTCGTTATCATATGAAAAGTGAAAACACATAAATGGTGTATTGGTTCTTTTTACTTGTGCATCTCAAATCTTTGAGTGAAGAGAAAGATCCTTTATAACGTGTCAATGTCAATGGGAATTGATGAGGGCGGATTTGGCCCTCCAATGATATTGTGACAGATGGCATCTCAGAATAGCTAGATGACACCTAGACACCATCTAAGTGATGATTTGGAATCCCAGATTGTGGCTCGTCTTTACCCTAACCTGGTGACCTGCATTTACCGCCGACCTGACAACCTGCCTTCACCGCTGACCTGGCGACCTGCCTTTACACCGACCTAGCGACCTCGACCACAACTTAGGTCGACTTGTAGCACCTCGTCCAGGGTCAACTTGTAGCACCTCGTCACTGGCTGAAGTGACATTGATGCGAGGAGTGACCTCCCTCGGGGGCTTGCCAACTTGACTAGGGACCAGGCGGTGACCTGCGAGATGTGCTCACCGACAAATTGGCATGAATATCCCAACACTCCCAGGTTTCTCGGAAGTTGGCCCACGTATCGAATGTTCCGGAGGATGGTCAATGTGCATGACGGTTACCTCCGAGGATCTTGGACCAGTTAGGCACGACCTCTCGGAAATCTCGAATGTAGTGTGTGAGGACCAAACCAAACAATGCCTATATAAAGGCACAAACCCCAATGACACAAGAGAGAGGCGAGTAAGCACATTCTATCTCTCATACTTATGATTTTTTAGCTCGCGGTCTACTACGAAAGTATTAACTTAATCATTGGAGTGACCTCGCCGGGTTAGCCACCCCGGGTCCTCTAACATTGATTCCTTGCAGATTTCTCTGAAGAGCTACCTAACTCAGCAATCAACCCAGCTCGGCACCCAATCTACCTCCAGCTCGGTCTACTCAGCTCGGCATCCAAGTCCTCATCCAGCAAAAATCCTCCACTTCGGCCTCTAAGTTACCGGCCACCTGGAAGTAGTCCGAACAACAGGGTGCTGCCAAAAAACCCTTCATCAGGAACTACGGAAGCATTTCTCATCTTTTCAATGTGAAAGATGTGCATGTAGTTTAAGAACGATTATGGGTTAATTTGATATTCGATGATACAAATTGACGCATTTTCTTTCTTAGGAACAAGATCTGGATCTATATGCAAAACATGTAAGTGAGAGTGTTTCTATTATTTTCTGGTGTTTCCGCAAAACAAAAACATGTTTGGAAAAAATAAAACAAAAGAAATGAGCAATTTTCACGTGAGAATGACACCCAAAAAATGTGTTCTTTGGCAGTGACAAATCGGTGCTCTCAAAGAACACGTTCTCTGGGAATGCATGGTTCCCACAACATCGCTTTACGTGTGCCACATTCCCACGTGAGAGTAGGGGCATTTTTGTCATTCCGCTTAAATTAATAAACTCTAAGCCATAATGTTCATTCATCGTTCCTTCAACCTCATCTCTACCATGCAAGGTTCAAAATATCGATATGCCAATAAGGGCGTGTCGGGCCATATCGGTACTTTGTTTTATACTTTTTTTTTTATGTTTTTTTTTCAAAACCAGTTCAGGGGGGCCGGTTTAAAGCTCCTCCACCCCCTGAACCGGTCAGAACCCCAATATAGGGGCATATCAGGAGCTCCCGAAATGATATGTATCGGCTGCTACGGGCCGATTTGTGGCGATAGCACAACCTAGGGAGGTGGTGAACGCTGAGTCAAGGATGGTGAATGGTCGGAAACACATCGACGACTTTTTTCCAACCAAAACCATTTACACAGGCATGGTTGTTTTCCTTCTTGCCGTTTCTTTGTTGTAGACATGTGGATGCTCTGTTTTTTGGTCCTCTGATTTATTGTTCTCCCAACCCTTGTTCTAAGAGATAGAATAACTAGCTTAAAACACTAATAGATAATAGTGAATCTGCATTTCTCCCAACCTGTTTTTGTTGGAGCTAGGTCTTAAATCCTAAAACGTAATTATTCTCCCAAAATCATGGAATCTAACACGTACGTTACAAGCAAGGTGAGGTAATGGATATACAGCATGTCAGCCTCCACACGCTCTTCTCTCAAACAAATAATCCAACAATGGCTTCCACCCAGTTATTTCCAACCCTTGTGCAAGTTCAACCCCCCAAACCCTGCAAATCTCCTTTAATCTGTCCACCAACTTCCCATCTAAACCAAAATGTACAGGTAGCAAAAGCAAACCCATTACTAACGGGACAAGACAGGAGCAATTTCTATTAAAAAGTGATTAAGAAAGTTCGAGCGGTGCCGCATTTTATTGGTGAATGGGGAGATATTACTATAACATTGAAGGATGGGACCAAGGTAGACCTCGGAAGTGTTCCAGAACAAAAATTTCCTTGAGAACAGGAACAGGTGAGAACATTGCCAAACAGGGCCTTAGAAGGCGCATATTCTCAAGTATCACAACCAAATGACATCAAATAAAAAAAAAAAAAAATTTGAAGAACTTCATTCAAGGCCCTGAGGCAAACTCTCTTTCACTTCAACAACAATTACAGACTACAAGAAATGTTATAAAATACAAGATAATAGTACAACATTCAACAGAGCTTTGGATATACAAAACAATGAGAACTCATTCCACATAAAACAATTACTTTCCCTGGAGTTTTCTGTTGGTTGGAGGAACCAATCTGTGGCCTTCCTCGAAGCCAAGATTTATCCTCTATCTTAATGTAATTAGTTATTCTTTTGCCAACTCGGGATATAGAGCATAAAAAGCTCTCTCTATACCAGAGTAGGATGAAAAAAATGTTTTAGGATCTGAAGTTTGCTTCAATTCAAGGTTTATGTCTTCTTCGCCTGCAGAGACAATAAATGAACAGTCAGAAATATAAGGAGAGCTTTTGACAGAAATTGAATGTTCAATAGAGCACTATGTTGGTGGATATGTTCTAACAATGGTTTTTTAGTTGTTCTGGCAGAGTGTAAGCTAACAATACAATGTGGCTGGCTGCATATGTTTCTTTCAATATACTAAAGATAGGTGCATAATCTGAACGCATTTAAAATTTTGGTGAGACTGCCATCTTGCCATGTTTCACCATGTTCTAACCTCAAAAATTTTTAAAACGTGAGTGTGAAACACTCTACAATATGCAGAGAAGTAAACCAAAAATTCTGTCAACAATAGAGCAGTACGAGTTATTACCTTTTTCAGATACTTTTTGTGAAGCTTTATTGCCCCATTGCATGCTTTTTTGGCATCCAAATTTCCAGTTATGTCATTCAATATCTGAAAGGGAAGAAGCCAATATATATGAATATATGAGATAACAGAAACAAGGCAGATCAATTGCTCCACCATTTACACTTTTTATGGAATATAGAACTTTAAGATCCAGCAAGGAATAACCAGAGTTGTACGACCATTCAAGAAAAGCAATCTCCACAGTTTGTTTTAGCTCTTAGGTCATTTTTATGGTGCCACAATGCATACACACATATGCACAACTCACATGACTCTTACCTTGACAACATCATCCAGACCCCGGGCTTCCTGCTGTAGTTTTGCGCTTTTCTCTTTCAGAACACTGGCAACAAGAAAAAGTGAAATAGGGAGAGGAGCATCCCCATTCTTTCCTGCACATCTCTGATTCTCTCTCTCAAACTTCCCACATTGGCGAATTGCCTTTGTTTTTCCTTTAGATTCCTCACTTTTTTCACCTGTTGAGTCAGCTTCTTCATACATGGAGAATAGATCAGGATCATACTCTAGGGCCCACATCATCTGTATAAAGTTTGATACCACATGTCAAGGCTCTACTAAAAAGGCATTACCAAACTCCAAGGACCGAAACCAGACTGCATAACAAATTCACAATTGCATCCACATAGATGTGAAGGAAGACTAAACCACATTCACATACAGAGTAGCCTTCTACGCCTATGCCTCCAGATTACTACTAACCAATTTGTAGATCTAGGTCCTTTATTGTTACTATGCTGCTTGGGTTGGACATAACACTAACTAGCCAAATTGAAATTTTCAAATAGACTAATGACATGCCTCTTGATTATGAACCTTTTCTAATAGTCAATTCAAATTTTAGTTTCAGATTTGATGCTTGAGAGAATTGCAAGAAAAAAGTACTGATCTCTGTCCTGAAATTTTAACAGGATGCTGTACCACAGACCACAAATGTGAACGAGGTTTTCTTAAACATCAAATCTGTCATGGATAAGCTAAACGATTATCCTATCACAGATTCTTTGTGCCTAGGACACTAACCAGAATATCCAGACACTAAAACCATTGTTGGATTGGCATTGACTAGAACCTAATTTATTGATTGAATGGTTAGCATATAGAAGCAGCATGTATAATGGGCCATGGTCAATTCAACAGCTGCTGAACAATGAGATGGAAATTGTGGAAGTTTGGATCAAAAGCTTTAAAGACAAGAAAATTACTAGATTTACTCCTAAAGCATTCATTTAAACAGGAAAAGGAAATGAAGGATCTAGATCAGTGGGTTAGATCATCCCATAATCGAGTGATTTCAGGCCATGGTCAATAGGTGTCCTAGATGCCTCCACATATATAGAATTCAAAACAATACAGAAGCCTGAACCTTGATCTTGATGCAGAAAACTTACTGGGTGAAAGTTTCAACCTTGTGCCTAATTGACTGAACAATGAGCAATTTCTTGCCTTGTTCATCATGAGGAAAAGCCCTTATCCCATAACTTATGCATGCCAATAGTCATTACAATGTCTTACTGTCACCTCAAACTAAAAGATATGGACTTATGGTCCATATCTGACAGAAAGCCACACCAAATTATCAGACAGAATATTCTGTATCTGAGAGGCGAATTTGGTGAAAGAAGCCTGAAAAGGGTCTATCAGTTTCCAATTTATACTAGACCACTCGCATATGCATCACTATAAGAAGATGAGAACCAACTAGACCAAACTGTTAGAAGAATAAAATAAGGATTGCTAAAGTAGACTAAGGTGAATCCACAGAATCATTCAAACCGTAAAGGCGGATTTCTTTTCCATCAAAATTTATGAAACTTTAATTTATAAGAACAAAGGAAGGAGAAGCAGGAGAATGGGAATGATGGTGTTGCTAGAGCGGTTCATACATACCTCCCAAAGGTACAATGAGTCGCAAAATGAGAACTCTCGACGGAATAAGACCATAAGCATACGGAATGCAAATAGATAGTCACCTCCACCTAGTGTCTCTGTGCTCCAAGGATCAAGGATGTAACACAAATTTTCTTGTTAGTTTTTAGTTTGAGGAAAGAATCTGAGAGGGGACTGCAAATAAGAAATAACTGTAGTGTTCCTTAACTTGAAAAGAAAACAGAAACAACTGAATAGTCAAAAAAAGGTCTATCCCAGATTATAATCAGAAGTTACAGACAGATAAAAGAAATACATGCAACTTGAAACTAACTGCAGCAAAATCCATCAAATGTTTGGTCCGATGTAAATCATTGGTGAAACTTGAAAGCAAAAAGGAAAAACAAAATTGGAGATGGAAAATTATTTAAAAGTATAAAAAAAAATAGCACAATTCATACTTTAACCAGTCCAGTTAGCAGCTTCATAGAACTTCTAAATTCCAGGATGATACTGTCCTTTGCATAGGCAGACAAATCATTAACATCATCTAAGCCTTATCCCAACTATATGGGGTTGGCTACATGAATCCTGTTTTTCTATTCCATTCTGTTTAATGCCATATCCATTATTAAATTATTGTATAAGCAGAGAAATATACACAAAAAAAAAACTTATTCCATTATAATTTTATTCCAAGTTCTTTGCTCCAACTGAACATTTTGGCATGCTTGAGCCAAAAATCTAATTCAAGGAAACATTATTAGGTTTGACAAGGGGAATGTTTACATGTCAAAAGCTTTTTTTTCCTCTCAGAAAAGAAAAGGGAAAGTGCCCTAAAATGTTGATCAGCAACGTAAAAATGTTCTAGGTTCAATAGTACTAACAAAACAAAGAACAATTTAATAATGTATTTCAAGGAAACAAGATGCTCTCATCTTCTTTTATTTTGATTTAATTTTTTGTTGGCCTGAAAAAAAGATAGTTATAAATTCAGGATCACTTTATGAGAATAGATGTTTGAGTTTATAGAATTAACTTTCAATCTTGCAAGACTTTAATTTGTGAGTACAGTAAACGGGGAAGAATAGGAATTTGATATACATACAAGTTACATACATTACCATTCCAGAAAAAAAGGTCCGTGGTTGAAACCAATGTGCTACATATTTGGATGATGCACCTCTCTATGGTTCACAACTCCCACATATGGTACTTATTTATAACTTTCATTTTTCTTAACACTACCGCTTTAGAATGGAAAAATTAAAGGAAGATGAAACATTAGCAACGTTAAATCATGATTTATCAAAAAGAAGAAATACCCCTCATTTTGGAAAAAAGAAGTTAGGGGACAGAATAATGGCCATAGGCTGAATATTGCAAACAGTATAGTCCTTAAACAATTACCTTGTTACACATTCGCCCCGGGGACTGGTAGTCCTATAATAAGTTGTCCTTTGTCACTCCTCTTTCTAATGCACCCTTAGTACCACCACCCTCGGCTGATCAAAGCGTCCATCTGGATGAACAATTCAGGTTGAAATAATAACTTTGCCTCTCTAAGGAAAGTTGGCATGGTACCAGGTGAGTTTGCCTCTCTATTCATTAACTGAAGAGGTGTTTTAGCTGCTAATTGATATGAAATTTCTCTAGGGGAGGAGTTGGCATTAAACACCTCTTCAGTTAATGAATAGAGCATTGCTAGGGAAGTGGCTGTGGAGGTTTCTGTGCTGAAAAGGCCTTTTTTTTTTTGAACAAAGATACCTTTTATTGAAGGCGAGAAACATAAAAGAGGATTTTTTTTTTATTGGAAATGGTAACTTCATTAATATAACTTAAGAAGAACTTTCCAGATTTAAGTACAGCTGTCAACCCCCAAGTAGGTGTTGAGCTCCCAGTAATCTTTCTTACAAAACTGCCCAGAACATTCTCTCCCTCACAGTCCCTTGTTTAGCCAAYGTGTCAGCTAAACCATTAGCTGATCTCCTTGTCCATTTGAAGCATGCACCGATCCCCCTTGTTATGTTGAGGATTTCTCTCGTCTTGTGGCTTTCAATGTAGGGAGTGGTGAACGTATATCCTTTTGGCAGGACGTCTGGTGTGGATCTAGAGTTCTAGACCCCTTAGCCAATCTTTTCCTCTCATTTACAATCTTACAACCATGATCAAGGAGCATCAATTAAGGATAACTGAGGTCACAGAAGGGGAGGTATCTTGGCTTCCTACTTTGAGAAGACATGTTTTTGATTGGGAAGTTCAGGACCTATTGGCATTGTTAGAAGTCATCTCCCAGGTCAAGGTATTGCCTGATGGCTAGGATGGTAGGATCAAATGAGGTCGATTGCAACCATGGATGGCATATTTTCTGTCAAATCTTTCTATAATATTTTTTTTATCAGCATATTTCTATAATAAATTAGGTCAGCACTCACCCCTGAAGGCATGGAAGTGGATCTGGGAGTCCAAAGTCCCTTCTAAGGCCATTTTTTCCTCTGGATTGCAATGTTGGATAAAATAGTGACCATTGATCACCTCCAGTCCAAAGGGATGGCCATCCCAAATATGTGCAGGTTGTGTGATAGGAAGGAAGAACCAGTGGCACATCTGCTCATTCATTGTGATTTCTCTTTCAACATATTGATGCACTTTCTGAATCTGTTTGGTGTCAGGTTGCCATCCCAGTGATTTAGATTCTCTAATTGCTGCATGGCTTTCCAATGCTTTTCAGGAGTCCTCTTGTCATTTGTCGGACAATTTGGAATGAGGGGAATGGCAGAATTTTCAGAGGCAAGGCGGTTTCTTATGAGGCAGTGATCAGGAAGGTGGAGAGAATGCTTCTTCAATGGGATAGCATTTCTAAGGAGTTTATGGGTTTGGATTTTGAGGAGTTTAGGGCCTAAGACCCAAGCTTGGGCTGAGCTCATGTTGGTCAATCAGGCCCAGGCAGTCCTATTAGGCCCAATGTTTCAAAAACTGTCCTAAACCTATCTAGCATCAGTAATTCAAACAAGTATATAGGAATTTTATATATGAATATACAGGTATGCAAAGTTAGGCCAAGTTTGGGCTGGGCTAGGGTTGCCATAAGATCAGGCCGGGCTCGAGCTACCTAAGGGCTAGGCCCAGCCCCACCCCCTTGCCC